AATATTAATTACTCTCGTGTTTACACTCCGCTTTGCCCCTTATGAGCTTTCGATACTTGTCCGGACAAGAAGCTGACCTGGGTAACGGGGACCCATCCACAAAACTTCCTTATTGCAATTAAACGAAAAAATCAGAGCGTTTCGTAATGACTATATTTTGAATGAGATTTTCAAAGTATCAAATTTTGCAGTTTTCCCACTACCTCAAACAAAAGGTTAGGAAAGTGTTATATTCCATGCTAATAGGAATATGGACTGGACAAACACGGTGGATAAATAGTAACAGGTTTATTGTAGAAACCATTACAACAAGCAAGGAAGAAATAGTTATGCGCACGGTCGTCGCAAGTCAGTACAGTTGCGTCCGTCCTGCTATCGGAAGGCCGCTAGTTCTCGCAGCTCGACGCTATTTAGCAACTGCCTCACACAGTCACATATGGCCGAATTTAATTGGTGGGGGGGTCCCGAGCCTGTAGGCTCGGCCAAAAAATCCCCGTAGACCCCACATAACCTGGATCGGGTCTGTCTACCTCCCCGGACGAGACTCTGCCCTTCGGCATAGCCTAGTCCGGATTCCTCTCTGCCCGAAGGCAGAGAGTTCGACTAGCGCAGCTGGGAAAGATCCCACCTCGACAACATTTAGCAACTGCCCCATGCAGTCACATGTGGCACAAGGCCGAATTTAAAGTGGGGTTCCCGAGCCCGTAAGCTCGGCCAAAAAAATCCGCGTAGACCCCGCATAAACGGGATCGGGTCTGTCTACCTCCCCGGACGAGACTCTGCCCTTCGGCATAGCCTCGTCCGGGTTCTTCTCTGCCCGAGAGTTCGACCTGTACAGCTGGGAAAGATCCCAGCTCGACTCCGTTGTCCTAACGGATTCTTATAGGTGGTTACCACCCATAGTGCCGCCACTCATGGGGGTGGCATGTTATTCCATTACATCTGAAGGAAACCCCACTCCATCACGACTGGAAAGAGCGATAACAGCTACTGAACTTGAGAAACCTATTTTCGTTAAACATTGTTTTAAGTGAAAGATTGTATAAATTTAAATCAAAAGCGGTACTGGCTGCTTGGTCAATGAAGGCTAAATGTTTCCTTATAGGGAAACAGCTAGTATTTCCATTACCATATTTGATGATTTTTAGATTTTTTTAAATAGAACATTGACTAATAGAATATCACATAATACTCTTTTAATAAATATCGAACCTGTTAGTTGTATACAAACACTTTCTTAGATCAATGGTTAGAAAAGACCATACTTTAATCCATAAATCAATCATTCGCCCTTGCACGGAATACTGCTGCCATATATGGTCTGGCGCCCCCGCCGTTCGTCTCAAGGTCCCCGACAAAATCCAGATATGGATATGCAATGTGATTGGTCCTGATCTGGCATCTCGTCTACAGTCACTTTCTCAGACTTGCAGTCGCTTCCCTCTGTCTTTTCTACAAACACTTTCACAGTACCTGCGCCGACGAGCTATATTCGCTGGTTCCCAAATTGCATGAATTTAAGCGTTCTACTGGGTTGGCATTTCAGTCCCACCCGTTCACTGTCGAAACTGTTAAATGTAGCCGTCTCTTCTACTCCAATAGCTTCATGTCTCGCACTTCCCGTCTGTGGAACTCCCTTCCTCTTACTTGCTTCCCTGATAGCTATAATCTTCAGTTATTCAAATGCAATGTCAATCGACATCTCCCGTCTTTCTCTTCATCCTTTCCTCCATCACGCCTCTTTACTCTTGCTCCCACTCTCTATAACCCCTCCCTCTTTACTCTTGTTCCCACTCTCTGTAACTCCCCCCTCTTTACTCTTGCTCCCACTATCTATAACCCCTTGCGTGCTAGTGGCACTTCCGCTTTGCCTGGGGTGAAATGCTTAAAAAAACTTCTTCGAACCTTCTGAACTGACGCTACACAATCAGAAACAAATACTAAATAACAGAAACGACATCACTTGAGAACTCCCAACAGATGCAACTGCTAAAATGGATTGCACGATTAATTAGAATAGAGAATATCGACATAATCAAGATGCTGACATTCTACACAAGTTCAAATAAAGGATTAGAAAGGACCCCCACCATTAATATTTGAAAGTGTGATAAAAGCTAATGGACTTGAGAAATCTATTTTCCTGAAAAAAAATGTTTTAAGGGAATTTTTTTTATAAATTACAACCGAAAGAAGTGCAAGTTACTCAGTCAAAGAATGACGAATGTTTCCTTATAAGGAAACGGATAATACTACCATTACGATTACCATTATCAGTAGTAACATTATCTTAAATATATTTTAAATGAATCATTATCAACCATTATTAATTTTTACTGTTGGGTTAGTGCATAATTATCAGGCGTTTTTGTAGACGGGTTATTTGTTAATAAAAAAAAATTCTGTTTTGTTTTTTTAGTAAAAAATATTATTCTATTTTCAGGATATAAAAATGCGTGTCGATAATCATACGCTCTGGAATAATCCTTTGAAAATATTATTGTTGAATTGTTATGGTTCTTTTTTCATAGTAAACATTGTTTAAAAAAACGCCTGATAATTATGCACCAACCCAATAATATTTCTTTTACCTTAATGATTTTTAAATCAAATTCACCCCGTGCAAGGCAGTAAAGCCACTAAGACACAAGGGGTTACTGAGTGTGAAAGAATTAGAAAACAGAAACATTATTGAGGATTGAGAACAACAAAAGAGTAACCAAGAAGACAGTAGATACCGATTGACATTGCATTTAAATTTTTCAAGATTAAAGTTGTCTGGAAAGCAAAAAGTCGAAAGAAAGTTCCATACGCGAGAAAAGAAACTGCTAGCATAGAACTTACGGTTACATCTCGCTAATTTAACTGTAAATTGATGAGACCTTGTTCCCAATCTAGTACTGTGCTTAAATTCATAAAGTCTAGGTACGATAGCGAAGAGCGATATTTATTTCTGCTATGTACAGAAATATGGCACAAGGCCAAAATGGGGAATTGGGAAAAGGACGATCTTCTTCTGTCTTAACGATAAACTTAGCTAGCCACAAACACTGAACATAACATACAACAATATTCCTAACACCAAAACACCACATTCTTCTTACTACATCCACCGTAATACCTCATTGTCTCTATGAAAATCCTAACTAAATCCCATATGTACAATTCATTGGCTATGGGGGAGGAGAACAAAACACCAATTTAAAGAACAAGCCCCAATGAGGATTTACAATATGAAAACCATATCGAAGAGCTCATCCGAGTAATTACTATGAAAGTATTTATAGAAAAGGCACAGGGAAATAAATTTACGGCGGTGGGAAATTGACTGAAACCGAGATGCCATGTCAAGACCAACAATATTGCTGATTCTTCTTTGGATTTTATCAAGAATCTCTAAACGAAAGGAGACTAGAAATAAAAGATAAATATTCGGTGAGACACAAATCCCGTGCTTTTTATCCCGGGGAGTCTCTTTTCTTTCCGTAACGGCTGCTCATCTGCTTGACTTACAAAAGCTCTACCCTTGGCAAAAGATCAAATCTAGTCTTTTTAAATCGAAAATCTACCCTTGAACTTTAAAGCTGAGTGCGTCTACGCCCATGTCAACAACATTTGATAAGCTGAGACAACCTTCTATTTCTACTTGTGCGCCGATATAACAATATAAATAAGAGGTTTGATTGGTAGCTGAGGTATTTTTTGTTCTTTCAATGGACAATGTAGTTAGTGTTTGAGTCTAGGATAAACCAGGGTTACCTATATTGATTGTCAAGACTGCGGGAGTTTCTCCACTTTGTGTGGGCCTCGGTGAGACTAAAATCAGGAGAAATATTTATAACACTGCAGTTAAACTAGCAACACCTTCTCTTAGAAATAATTACAAAGGTATTTTCACTGGTCTTGATCAACGATGAATTAAATTCTAACGTTTCTTCTAACAAATGAAATTGTCATTATCCGAATGATACTATTAATGTTTGTTTTTTGTTTTGTTTTTTAGGTGGGAATCATATTACAATTATAATTTTGAACATTATTGAATTTTTATTGATTTCTTTGTGGTAATTTTCTTTATTTCTTTTTCTCCAATTGCCAAACTCAAGTTTTCTCGAAATCCAATTTTAAAAGCGCAACGTGGTTTTCGGGCTATTTGTCTACCATCAATATCGGCGCCTTCTATTATCAGCAACAGTTTAGAATATTACAGGCTTTAGTTTTTCTTCTCCCTGTTTTAATATTGTTATCATCCTCTCTTTTTCTCTTTCTCTCTCTTCCTGTTATGCTTTTCCAATATCTCTTTCTTCGTGTTATCTATCTATCTATCTATCTAGCTAGCTAGCTAGCTCAGTTTGTTCAGATCTAGCTCTCTAATCTCATCTATTTATCTATTTTTTAATCGATATCACCCCATGCAAGCCACTAAGACACAAGGGGTTACTAGGCGAGGAAGAATTAGAAACAAAAACATTACTAATGAGTGGGAAGATAAAAGAGTAATCAGGAGGACAGCAGATAGCGATTGACATTGCATTTAAATTTTGGTAGATTAAAGTTGGCTGGAAAGCACTGAGCCGGAAGAGAATTCCACAAGCAAGAAGTGCGAGAAAATTAATGAGACCTTGATGCCAGTGTAGTACTGTGCTTAAATTCAAAAAGTCTAGGTACCATAGCGAAGACTTCATCAGAACAATTACCATGAAAGTATTTATAAAAAAAACACAGATAAACAACCTTAGGGCGGTTTGAAAATGACTGAAGCCGAGGCGCCAGATCAGGATTAGTAATATTGCTGATTCTTCTTTGGATGATATCAAGGAGCTCAAGATAAATAGCAGAGGAATCAGACCGTATGTGGCAGCAATATTCTAAGTATGGACGTATGGTAGACATAGATATGTAAGATAGATTATGGGGAAGGAAATGTCTCGCATGACAGAGTGAAACAACTTTCTTAGCAGCTGACCTAGAAAATGGATTCAATTAAGTCTTTCCACTTCATGTCAGCTGAGAACGTTAGCTTGAGAAGGCGCAAAGAGTCAGTATCTGTCTGTCTATCTATCTATCTATCTATCTATCTATCTGTTGGGGCGCACCCACCTTCTCATCAGAATGGACTGATCTCTCTACTACTAATAGGACAGTTCTATAGAGTTCTGGAAAGATCAGGTGACCATCACACTTCCGTCTCTCTACCGGAAGATACAGTTGGATTTTATACTCTTTCTGATTGTTACTGACTAACCTGCGTTCGTTTGACTACTAATCTCTCTGTTGTAAATACCTCTTCAAATATACCAGTATTTTTCCCTACGTATGTGTTTGTCCTTATTTCAATACACGCACGCGGAAACACTCAACACCTCATCACTATCTATCTATCAAGTTCGTATCTATCAGATAGATACGAACGAAAGATCTATCTATCTATCTATCTATCTATCTATCTATCTATCTATCTATCTATCTATCTATTCCTATCACTTCTATATCTATCTATCTATCTATCTATCTATCTATCTATCTATCTATCTATCTATCTATCCCTATCACTTCTATCTCAATCTGTTTCTATCTCTATATCTATCTCTGTTCCTATCTATCTATCTATCTATCTCTGTTAGTTCAGATCTATCTATCTATCTATCTATCTATCTATCTATCTATCTCAGTTTGTTCGGATCTATCTATCCATCTATCTGTCTCCATTTTAGTATAAGCATCCCTATCTGTTGTTGCGAATATATCTATCCTGGTCCAGCACCACCACGTCTATCCATAAACTTTTATGGTTCGTCTATGCATTCGATGTTGCTGTCACATCTGGTATGGTGCTTCTGCTCTGTAATTAGAGATTCTTGACAAAATTCAAAGAAGAATCTGTAATATTATCAGTCCTAACCTGGCATTTTGACTTCACTCAATTTCCCACCGCCGTAACTTAGCTTCCCTTTGCCTTTTCTATAAATATTTCCATGGTAATTGTTCTGATGAGCTTTCCTCTTTTAGTTTCCTTTTTCAGTTAACTTAGCTAGGGTATGTATGCTCATTGGCCCCCTTTTTTCTGTCTCTATTTTTCTTTATGTTTAATTCCCCATCTCCTCCCTTGTTAGGTGGTCAGTGATGTCAGTTCTCTGCTGGATGCGGGACGCCTTTCGTTTCGCGTGAGTGTTTTTCTTTTCGTATTTGTTGTTGTGTCTAAATGAGTGCATGTCAGTGTGAGTGCTTGGGATGAATAAATGTTTCATACTATTATAGCCTCCCATTGTTTTCGGCCAGTGAACTGATGTTTCTGCCACATTTAGTCATTGTGTGTGTGTGTGTGTGTGGGGGGGGGGGTTATTACTAATATTATTTTCTTTAGTTTCTTGTAAATAGTTTTGTATTCATAATGTAAATACTCATTGGGGCTAGTTTTTAGAATTGTTCTTTTATTCTCCTCCTCCCCCACAGACAATAAATTGTAAATATGGGGACTAGTTAGTATTTTCATAGAGACAATGAGGTATTATGGTGGATGTAGTAAGAAAGGTACGTATGAATGTGTTGTTTTGGTGTAAGGAATATTGTTTGTACGATTGGGTCAGTGTTTGCAGCTAGCTAAGTTATAGTTAAGACAGAAGAAGACAGTTCTTTCCCTAATCCCCCCTACGGCCTTGTGCCAAATTTCTGTATTTTAACAGAATAAATATCACTTTCCTCTTTGGTAGCTCGATTTTATAAATTTAAGTGCAGTACTAAATTGGTAGCTAGGTCTCAGCATTTTACAGTTGATATTGCTAGATCTAGCCGTAAGTTCTATGCTATCATTTTCTTCTCTCGCACTTCTAACTTGTGGAACTCTCTTCCAGCTTCTTGCTTTCTAGATGTGACCGTAAGTTCTTGGCTAACAGTTTGTGCGATGTGCTTCTTTCTTTCTGATCAATTTTGATCTTCAAAAGTTTAAATGCCATGTCAATCGTCATTCCTCTCTTCATAATAGTTTTTTTATTAATTTCTTTCACACTCAGTAACTCCTTGTGCCTTAGTGGCTTTGCCAAACCACCCGTTTCACTTTTCACATCTATTTACGCAAGCTCGTGAAACAGGTGCCGCTGGCTTTCTCTATCTCTCTTGCCATCGATATGCCCCGTGAGAGTTACGTTTTCCGAGCCTTCTTTCCTCATTATGCGTCCACGACACCTCAGCTGTCTCATTCTGATTCTGGCTATCTTTTTCTTGCCATTTTTTAAAGAACTCTCCGTTGCTTACTCGCTCCTTCCATAGAATTCTCAGTGTCCTTTTGTAGAACCACATGTCTGTTGTCTAAAGGACCTATCCCGGAAACTAAGAAAAGTGTAGACTATATATGGTAAAGTAGTGCCAATAATTATAGGCGCACCTGGAACCGTGTCTCAAATGCTACAATAAGAATTGGATTAATAAGAAATTCGAAACAGTAACATTTCCTTTAGGATTTCTTAGTTGCTTACTAGTTCTGTCCATGGAATTCTCAGCATCCTTCTGTAGAACCACATTCCAGCTGCCACGAGTTTCCTCTTCACCGCTGGGGAGATTGTCCAGCATTCACTGCTGTACAAGAGGACTGATATCGCATAGCAATTCGGCGCTCTTTTCTTTGTTTCTAACGAAATTTTCGTGTTTCTTAGAACTTTGCTTAGCTTTTGGAAGGCATCTTTTGTTAATCGATAACACGTTCGGATTTCGGAGCCGCATCCCCCCCACATCTGTTAAAACAAGTAAACCTCAATTAATCTTCTATGTGCTGGGTCTCTTCAGGACATTTTTGATAATGGCTCTCCACAATATTCTGTCCTTTGTAATCTTCAGTATATTTTGTCATTTTGTTATCTCTTCTAAACTTTGTTCCGCAAACCATTTACTCAAGCTCACTAAATAGATTACGCGTTGTTTGTACCTTCTGCCTTCAATCTGTCCTGTGAGTATCAGATTTTCCAAACCCTTTTTCCTCGTTATCTACCCGAGAAACTTCAACTATCTCTTTATGCTTCTCAATATACGTGAGCTTTTTGTTTCCATTTTCTCTAAAACTTTGTCTTTGTTTACATGTTTGGTCCATGTTATTCTCATCATCCTTCTGTACAACCGAATTTCCATTGCCCCATGACTCTTCTAAATTTATCTCTCGGAGTTGGTTTTTTTTTTGGTGTGTGTGTGTGGGGGGGCGCTAATTTACACAAGAGTTAAAAATATCTTTGAAAACAGTGTTTTGACTGAACTGGATATTGTTTTATTTTCTAAGTTTGTGCACTCCTGTTAAAAGACGTTAACAAAAATTGTGCAACACTGTTCACTTTTTGTTGTTCTACAGAGAAAAAAAGCACATAAATATATGCAAATTGTTGCTTCAAGTCTCTTATGTTTAAGGAGATTGTTCAACATTCATTGCCATATGTATTAAAACACCAAGTAGATTTACAGTAAACAAACGCTGTTTGGGAAATTTAAGATTAAAAATCATCGAACATAGCCACGGGTAGAATATCACATCAAATTGAAAAAGCTTAATTCTGTAATTGTATAATTTTTCCCCGTGTTATGAATATAAGTGATGATGGCTCTCTACTATTTCTAAAATATCTTTGAATTTCCATCGTTTCTTTGAGAAGAATCGTGTTTTTTCCGTTTCTTTCGCCACTGCTTTGAATTCAGAGTTGTAAGATTTGGTTACCAATTTAGAAAGCTGGTGGCAAAGAAGACATAGATTCACGTGTTTCTCAAGGAAAAAAAGTTGATTAAAAAACGAAGATACATTTTATGTCTTAGATTACTTTTAGGTTTCAGATTATTTTTTAAATAAAAGAATGGGTATTAATACTTTTTTTTATAATTGCGTCGTACTTATAAAATATATAAAAAAAAATAAACATTGTCGCCATTTCCTGATCGTTATTATTGATAATAATAAAAATGGTGGCGATGATGAGACAAAAAAAGAAAAGAAACAATTTAAAGAAAGTAAAACAAGAACGAAATTAAAGAGAAAACAAGAAAAAGAATTAAACGGAAAAAAGAAACAGATGAAAGAGAAAAAAATAAAGAAACGAAAGAGGAAACAAGAATGAAATTAGAGAGAAAAGAAAGAAATAAAGAAACAAATTAAAAAAAAGAAAGAAAGAAATTTAAGAGGGAAAAAGAGAGACATTAAAGAGAAAAAAGAAATTAAAGTGAAAAGAAAGAAAAGATGAATGAAGAATGAAATTAGAGAGAAAACAAAGAAAGAAAAAGAAAGAAAGAAAAGAAAGAGAGAAAAAAGAGAGAAATTAAAATAAAAAGAAAGAAAGGAAAGAAAAAGAAAAAAGAGAGAAATTAAAATGAAAAGAAAGAAAGGAAAGAAAAAAAAGAGAAATTAAAATAAAAAAAAGAAAGAAAAAAAGAAAAAGAAAAAATTAAAAATGAAAAAAAAAAAGAAAGAAAAAAAAGAAATTAAAATGAAAAGAAAAAGAAAGGAAAAAGAAAAAAGAAAAAGAGAAAATTAAAATGAAAAGAAAGAAAGGAAAGAAAAAAGAAAAAGAGAAAATTAAAATGAAAAGAAAGAAAGGAAAGAAAAGAAAAAAGAGAGAAATTAAAAAGAAAAGAAAGAAAGGAAAGAAAAAAAAAAAGAGAAAATTAAAATGAAAAAAAAGAAAGGAAAGAAAAAGAAAAAAGAGAGAAATTAAAATGAAAAAGAAAGAAAGGAAAGAAAAAAATAAAAAGAGAGAAATTAAAATAAAAAAAGAAAGAAAAAATTAAAGAAAAAAAAAAAAAAAAATCCAAAGAGAAAATTAAAATAAAAAGAAAGAAAGGAAAGAAAGAGAAAAATTAGAGAAATTAAAATGAAAAGAAAGAAAGGAAAGAAAAAGAAAAAGAGAGAAATTAAAATAAAAAAGAAAGAAAGGAAAGAAAAGAAAAAAGAGAGAAATTAAAATGAAAAGAAAAAAGGAAAGAAAAAAAAAAAGAGAAAATTGAAAAAAAAGAAAGAAAGGAAAGAAAAGAAAAAGAGAGAAATTAAAAAAAAAAAAGAAAGGAAAGAAAAAGAAAAATGAAAAGAAAAAAAGAAAAGAGAAATTAAAATAAAAAGAAAGAAAGGAAAAATAAAAGAAAAAAGAAAAGAAAAGAAAATAAAAGAGAAATTAAAATTGAAAGGAAAGAAAAAAGAAAAAATTAGAGAAAATAAAATGAAAAAAAGAAAGAAAGGAAAGAAAAGAAAAAGAGAAGAGGATTAAAAAAGAAAAAAAAAAGAGAAAGAAAGGAAAATAAAAAAAAAAAAAAAAAGAAAAAAAAATGAAAAAAAAGAAAAGAAAGAAAGAAAGAAAAAGAAAAAGAGAGAAATTAAAATGAAAAAGAAGAAAGGAAAGAAAAAGAAAAAAGAGAGAAATTAAAATAAAAAAAAAAGGAAAGAAAGAAAGAAAAAGAGAAAATTAAAATGAAAAAAAGAAAGGAAAGGAAAAAAGAAAAGATGAAATTAAAATGAAAAGAAAGAAAGGAAAGAAAAAGAAAAAAGAGAGAAATTAAAATAAAAAGAAAGAAAGGAAAGAAAAAGAAAAAAGAGAGAAATTAAAATGAAAAGAAAGAAAGGAAAGAAAAAGAAAAAAGAGAGAAATTAAAATGAAAAGAAAGAAAGGAAAGAAAAAGAAAAAAGAGAGAAATTAAAAAAAAAGAAAATTGAGAAAGAAAAAAAAGAGAAAAAAATGAAAAAAATTAAAAATAAAA